GCAGCAGTTATAACCAATTCTAGGTAAGAAATATTAAAATTCTCATAAATTGTAATTAATGCTATTTAATTGATTTTCTAATTCGTTCTAGGTTTATGTTTATGGCAACTGGTATATTTATGTTGGCAAAGTTTAAGAGTTCGGATAGAATTTATACACCATTGCCATTGTATCACACTGCAGGTGGTGTAATGGCTGTTGGTGCAGCTCTTCTTCATGGTGCAACAGTTGTAATTAGAAAAAAATTCTCAGCAAGCGCTTATTTCGCTGAATGCATCAAATATAATTGTACAGTAAGTTCTATGCTTTTTAACTTTCTTCTATCGTTATTGAAAGAAAATAAATTTAAATTTCACTGCGATATTTATTCAAAAAGAGAATTAATCCTTGAAGAAATACGACTGTGAAAGCAAATAGATATAATTAACTTTTAGGTTGGTCAATATATTGGAGAAATGTGTAGATATATTTTAGCTGTACCTCCAAAACCGGAAGACAAGCAACACAAAATTAGGGTGATGTTTGGAAACGGTTTGAGACCACAAATATGGCGCGAATTCGTAGAGCGATTTAATATTTCACAAATTGCTGAATTCTATGGAGCAACAGAAGGCAACGCTAATATAGGTAGGAATTCCTATTATCTATACCAATCGTTAATAAAAATATATTGAAATTTACGACTATTTTGTGTACTAAATGACCAATCGAGTGATTAATTTTTTATTATTCTTAATAAATAATTTGCTTTATCCAATGAAATATTTAATGAATTGCAGTTTTAAATAAAGTAATGAATAATAGTAATAAATCTAGTCATGAATAATAAATAACAGAATTTTTATATGCTGTATAATGTACGTTTGTAAAAATATGCATATGCTCACACGATTAAGAAATATATATAATTTATAAAAAGTAGTTAAATATTTTATTAATGTATGTAGTAATTGTATGATATTAACATTTCATATCCTATTCTTCTAGTAAATATCGACAATACTGTTGGAGCTATTGGTTTTGTATCTCGAATTGTTCCATCAGTTTATCCTATTTCCATTATAAAAGTCAATGCTGACGGAGAACCTATAAGGAATGAGAAAGGTTTATGTCAATTGTGTAAACCAAGTAAGTATTTTCGTTAAATATAAATTAAAGCATTCACCTCACATTTTGAATTGTAATGAAACTATCTTTTTTTTCACCTTACAATTTCTTATATCATTTTCAGATGAACCAGGTGTTTTTATTGGAAAAATTATACCAAACAATCCATTCAGAGCATATTTAGGATATGTAGATCAGAAAGCATCAGAAAAAAAAATAGTTTATGATGTATTTACCAAAGGCGATTCAGCATTTATATCTGGTATAAATTTATTCTAACTTAATTGTAGAATATAAAATTTGTTAAGCAAAGCTATTTAATATTTCTGCGTTATATTTCTTTATTGCAACTGTTCCATTAGAATACAATAAATATTATAAACTACTAATACAAATAGTCATCTAAATTTTGTTCATTTCTTTCTTGCAGGTGATATTTTAATAGCAGATGAATTTGGTAATTTGTACTTTAAGGATAGAACAGGTGATACCTTTAGATGGAAAGGAGAAAATGTGTCTACATCTGAAGTCGAAGCTATTATCAGTAATGTTGTTAGTTATAAAGATTGCATTGTATATGGAGTTGAGGTAAATAAAATATTAAAAATAATATTCTATAATAGTTATTCTATTATTTTTTAATAAAGAATATTTGTTATATATGTCTTATTTATATATGTAGTATATGTATTACATATGGAATTTAATAAGTTTTAAATACTCTTTATTTCTGCACTATAAGTTTGTAGATTTAATTATATTTCCATACAATTTTTCGATAGATTCCAGGCCTTGAAGGTAAAGCTGGAATGGCAGCAATATATGATGAAAAAGCTACGCTAGACATTAATAAATTATCAGTTGATTTAAAGGAACATTTAGCAACTTACGCGGTACCTAGATTTATTAGGATTTTATCGAAAATTGATCTCACAGGTATTTTTGTATATATATCTCTATTAAACTCATTTGATAATCATATTAAAATCGTCTTTATCAATAGTCGTAAATTAATCATTTGTTATTTATGAATGTTATTTTAACTGTTTCAAAATTATACTTAAATTATAAAATTAATTGCTTATATAATATCTTTTATAAATATTTTTATTTTTATATCAATTTTTCATTCATATCTCGAAAAATAATACATTTCGTTATGCAGATTACACTCTTACTATTTTATAAATTAAATATAATAAGCTTAAACCATTCTAACTTAGAAAGGCCATTTTTAATCACTATTTCAGGCACATTCAAATTGAAAAAAAAAGATCTTGTAGATGAAGGATACAATCCAAATAGGATAGGAGATAAATTATATTATTTAAACGAAAAATCTGGATACCAATTGTTGACTACCGAAATTTATGACCAGATACAACAAGGGAAAGTTCGTTTTTAAATTCTGTCCTGTATTAAAAAGAAATCTCATGGGAACAATTTTTGCTGCAACTCTTTACGTATGAAGTGAAGAGGTTTTCCATCTTCATTATGTTAAATCAAAAAATTGCTTTGTGCTGGGGTAAATTGTAGCAGTAATTAAATTGTATAATTTTACACTATTATTTTTTATATATAATTTTTATATAAATTTATACTTTTTAGAATTCTCAATATATATATATAAGATACAAAATACGTCGCATTAAAGTCAGAATGAAATATTTTTTATTTAAAAAAGAAATGAACGTTATTTATTTTTCTGGGTTGGAGTTGTGCTTATTTGTACTACATATACGTAATAATATACATATATACACTATAATACATATTAGATACATTAATATAATATGTGTATATTATGACGTATGTCATTAAATCATCTTATATTAAAATTCTAAATTTATACGTCTAGCAATACATTCTGCATGAAAAATCAATGTTTTTATATACGTTTATGTAAATTAAAATTATATAAATATTTAAAAGAAACAGAGACTCTTATTTCAAACTTATATGAAGCTTGCATATGTAACTTAAAAAATTGTAAATGCATACAAGGTACTAATATAAAATTATACGTAACCGAAAGCACAAATAAAATATTTATTTTGTAACATAAACTGAATATAATTTTTCAGAAATTTAGGCGTTGTTAAAAGTATTGTTACAAATGTTGTACAATTGTTTTATGAATTCATAGTAATTACGAATATACATGTCATAGATCATATGAATAAATACAAATGTTGATTACTAATTTATTTAGTAGTTTCATCCTTGATCTGGTTTTCAGAAGTTGATGGCATACTTTCCAAACTCAATACATTAACACTACTTATTAGATACTATGTCTCTTAAGATAAAAATCTTACAAACAATTTTTGTAATTTCTCATCCAAAATTACACATACAAATAAAATCATTCATTACTATTTGCGCGATCACTCTTGCAATTAGTGAAAATCAATTTAAAAATTCGTTTCAAATAAAATCAAAATGATTTAAAAATATTTGTATATTAAAATCAAGCCTTTGTACTCTGCCCAAATTTATTAAAGCTAATAATATAAACATAAATGATCACTGCTGCGGAATTAATCATTCCGATTATATTATTAAATTCTTTTAAAATATATCCTATTTTATTTTACATAAAACCACTGTTATTAAGACTGATTCATGATTCATTTGAAATTTAAAGGAACTGAATCATTCTGTTACTTTGGTTTTGAATAAAAAAGATCTCATAATATCCTAAAACTTTAAACTTCTTGTATCAACAATTTAATATATCTTCATTACTAAAAATAATGAAAATATTCATATACGTCGTTACATTCATCGGTATAATACTCTAACAATATTTGTAATTACTCAAGACACTCCATAAAAAATTACTCCATAAAAGTTGTTGCCCGAAAATTGTTGTTAATTTTGCTTACAACAGCTAAGTACATTATGCTACAATGGTCGATATGAAGACATTCTATTGATTTAGAAAATGTCATTATGTAAATAATCGTTATGTCGAAACCTTCCTATAAATATATCTAACATTAGTAAGGAAATCTTCATTTCATAATTTCATTTTTCTTGTAAACTATTTCTATTAAAAAGTTCTATTTAAAAAAATCTAATACAATTCTATATAAAAGATATGTTTAAAAGCATATGATTCATTAAACAAAAAAGGAACATATGTTCCCATTCAGCTTTGAAAATTACCTAGAAAATATTTATTTGATCTTTGGAACCATACAACTTTAACCCAAATCTTCTCACAGATAACAGTTTTTATGTAAGTCAAGGTGATAACATAAACTTTGTATAATATATAACTTATAGTACATTCATTTACAATTATTATGCATTTATAATTTGTAATAATAACATTTATAAAGATATGTTGTACTGTACCTATATTTTACTATATATTGTTATTGTTATATCATGTAAGTCTATATAAGTATATTATTGTTAATGTTATTACACCAAAAAGTGATACATTTATTATTAAAAAATTTCCACAATTAAAATTTGAGATAAAAATATATTTACATGATTAATATAAATATTTTTCAATATAGCAAACATTATATCATAATTATCACATTATCTCCCAATTATATTTTCTAACAAAAATCGAGAAAATATTTTTTATTCAAAATAATTCGTTTATATAAGTATCTGTTACGTTAATCTTAATTTATGTATTGATTAAATTCTTTTGTGATTTTATTACATATGAAAATATGGCTACTGGTGTACAATTATTATGACTGGTTATTAAAATTACATATTTTATAAATATTTTGTACTTTTATTAATCTTTAATATTATTGCAAGCTTTGAATTTATTATATACATGTATTAATATACCTAATACATAACATAACATAAAATATATATTACATTATATAATTTAATTACATTTAAAACCCTTTGCACTCGAGAGGCGACTCTCAGTCGCCACGGCGTTCCGTACTGCAATTCCTGTGGCGAGTGAGAGGCGACAGTCCCTGTTTATGCTAGATTTCAACATCTCCAATTGGTGAGAGTGCAACATTGGTTCTAAATTGATTCCTTAGCTCTTTATGTCTTTTGTTAGAAAGCGTAAAGTGCTAGATTTTAAAATGGAGATAAAATATTTAATCTCAAATCCCTTCGAAACTATTGTTCGGACAACGTCTCCAACGTTAGATCGGATTCAACGACGGATGGCAAAATTATTATAGCTTAGAAACCCTAAAAAAATGGTTTACGGAAGTGAAATTAGCTCAAATGAAGATGAACTTGATTTTGAACTATTGAAAAATGGGATCAGTTATATTCAAGAATGCAATCTTGGTGAATGCTTTATAAATTATCATACAAAAAATACAAAAATTAATATTACTATATAATTAATACATAATAAATAATATTAGTAGATATAGATAAATTATTAGAATATCATGTTTTTGTAAGTTAATTTGTATATAAAATCATTTTACGCTAGCTGTAAGACACGCGTCACATATACGCCAAATCATTTAGAGTAGCTGCTACGCCCGACCGAAAAAGTTCTTGAATGCAGAGTTAAAAAAATATAAAATGTAATGTTATATAATCTTAAAATAAATATGATTCTTTTATCTGTGTATTTTCTAATTTTCTTATTAGGAGAAATAAGTACGTTTAATGTTAAAATTATTTATCTATCAACATATTATTTTACAACATAATATTTTGCACACTAAATACATTTATTTTAAATATTAGATACTTCAATATTTCATGATTATTATATTTAAATAAAAAAATAAAAAACAATGATGTAGCTTCATTGAAATAAAAGCTCCATTTTCAACAAATTAACAAATTAGTAATTAACAAAAGTTATTACAAAATAAAAATTCTATGTGTAATATATCAGTCTAATTCATTCTTTAAACTTCAATAATTTAATTTTGCTAGTTATGTAATAAAATCTGTACTATACATTTTGGTACTTAAAAATATTCCGAATTTTATCATTGCTCCATTTGTAGGTTCAACGAAAATATCTTCATCAATAGCCCAATCATTATTTACAATCTCTAGAAAAAAATAATAAATAAATCAATTCAATTTGTATATAACATACTAATGAAAATATTGTTTAATTGTAAAAACCTATACATTTTTAACAAGCTATATAAAAAATATAAATATACAATTTAAATACATTAAACAGCCATATTTAATGACTCTGAAAGGAAGTAAAGGTAAAGAAGAAATGTTATTTTTAAAACAGCAGTAAGCACTTACTTGGTTTAACTTGTGATGGCTTTGAAAATAATGTCACATGTGATTCTTTCAAGAGTATTTTGTCCAAGCATCCCAACTTTATCAATATCTGCAAAGAATATATCAAATATCTCTCAAAAAAATAAATTTTATAAAATTTAATAGAAATACAAACTACATAAAATATTTCCATAATTATACACATAAATATGAACAATATTCTACTATAAAACCAACACAACTACCTCATAAACATATTATAAGACATTATAAAAATTTTATTATAGAAAGCAGAAAGGCAAAATTATGTAGTGATATATGAGTACTAAGAAAGATATAACTTACCTCGACTAATTCTCGTGTATGATATGGTTGCAGAGCAGGGACAAATCTATTTTGTATTTTTAATAACGATATACCCGGATGTGTTAAACAGTATGACAAAATTGATCCCAACATACGATCAAGTACCCTACGATTTAAAACACCATCTACTCGAATCCATGGTTTTATAGCTACCTTTATTTCTTGTTTGTTACTGAAACATAAATGAGGCATATTTAAATATCATCTACTCTAACATCTTGAATAACTTGACTGTATTTAAAATAAATATTGAAATGAATAAATTTGAGTTTAATAAATTTTAACTTTCATTGTATAACTCCATTTACTTCAAATCTAACTGTTTCACATCTTTAAGTTTATCTTTCTGGGGTAGTAATTTAATCCTCTTTCTTGATATCCTTTTCTTCATCTCTGTGTTGTATTCTTCATCGCTATGACTAGATGTATCTCTAGTGGAATCTTCATTCATATTTTCATCATTGTCTTTTGTCTCTGACTGAATATTTTTTTCAGCTATATTTTCACCAGCAATTTTGAATGATTCATTTTCTAATGGTATAGTAAGATTTTGTTTGATTTCTTCTATCATAGTTACATCATTATCTTTGTCTAATGCTTCTCCAGATTCTGTCACATACACAGTTCCTTTAGGCATTGGTATAAGCGATTCTTTTTCAAGACGGCTTATTTTATATGAATGTATTAGCCAAGAATCAGCATAACGATGATGTATATATCGAACCGTAGTTACACCGGACCGCAGGAATAGATGATTATTGGTAAGAAAAGAAACGATTTGGTATACATTTTCTCCTAATGTATCCTCAAATTCATCCTATCAAAATGAATAAAACAATAATTAACTAATGTAAGATACTTTATTTGCAAGATGCAAATTCTATTTGTTTTAAAATAAAATGTAGATATATTTTTACTTACTATCAACTCTTGGATAGTAGCTCCAAGTTCTTTTTTATCACATACAAATTTAAATATTGCTTCCATATTGTTCAAATCCATTGAACAATTATTGGGCAATTTTTTTTTGAAATCAGAATATGAAATACCATCTTTAGGGTAAACTGCAAATTTATTTATTTCTTGTATTAAGTCATTTATAGCATTTAATCTTAAAGGTAATAGATCTGAGGGTATTGATAGATCTTTAAAGACTTCAGTTTTGTCAATTTTTTGTGAGTTTGATCGATATAAAGAATAATAAACTTTGAACATATTTACAACAAAATATTCATGTGCATGATGACTATCTGCTACTGTGAGTTCGCTTAATTCTTCTCTCATTCGCAATAAAGCTATACGAGTGTACCGCTTGTGTACATCTGAATCATCAATCTTGCAGTATGAATTCAAATAACTCTGTTCTGTTGGAATATTTTTTAGGATATCACTAACAAGTGTAAAACCATTTCCACTGCTCTTTTTTGGTTGTAAAGAAACTTCACGTTCATTATTCGAAATATATTGTTCATTACTAGATTTTACATCATTAATTTCAATTGTTTCTTTTGTAGAATGTTCTCTTGAATCTTCATTTTGTGTTTTATTTGGTGTTTCAATCAAAATGATATCATTTCTTCGTAATGCTTCTTCATTCTCTTCTGCATCTACAATTTTATGATCTAATATTTTTTTCTTTTGAGCAGGTTTACCTAAATCAAACATGTCTTCATTATCATTCCTTCGCCTTTTTCTCTCAGATGTAATTAATTTATTTTCTTTGTCCGTATTCAATTGAAGGTCTAAATGGAATGAAGATGAATTTTCAATATTTAACATTCTATCTTCATCTTTACTACTTGTACTTTCCAATAATAATACAGGATTATGTTGTACATGAATCACATTTTCAAATTCAGGCAGTTTATGTAAACTTTCGCCAGTATCTCTTACTTGTACCGTACTATCTATTTTAGGATTATCAACAGTACATATTTTATCTTCTTCTGTTTCCATCATTGAATCCTCATCACAAAGTGTTGAACGCTTGACATCGTCATTGTTTAACTCAATTTTAATTCCATCTTGAAATTTAATTATATTTTGTCTATCATCAATTACATTACGACCGTTCTCCTCATCAATATTGAAATTTATTTCGTCACAATCAGTAAAAGGTTTCGAATCTTTGAAATTTGTTTCCTCATTTTCAAATTCTTGTAAATGTGTGTTCTTCTCTGTATCTAAATCCGAGAAACCATCTTTATCTGATTTTCCATCAACATTATGTACATCATTATAATGTATAGTAGCAGTATGGGCATCAAAGCTTTTGTTGTCATGCTTTTCAAGATCAATCATTGTACCACTGTTTTGCAAAGAAAATTCTTTTATAAATTTCAAATTATCCAAATTAGCCAATATATCTTGATATCGTTTAGCTATTCTAAAGTATGTTTCATCTTTTTCTTTTAATCTAGGATCAAGCATTATAACTTGATCAGGTATTTCAATATCAAAATCTATTTTATCTTGTACAATATAATCATGTATCGCTCCTATTAAACCACCAGTAATCGGGAGTATTTCAACGCCATTAAAATTATCTGATGTTTTGCTTTGATCATTCATTTCATTATGACAATACCAATTACTAAGTTTATAGAAAACATCATATGATTCTTTGAATAAAGCATATGGCCATTTAGTATGAAATTTATATATATAAGTATTACTTAATTGATACTGAGAACTACTCATCGGCATATAATTACCGTGTTTTCTTATATTAGGCAAGTGATTCTTTTTAATGGTAACCATTTGATCACTATGAATTTTTGTCAGAGCATTTCTTAACAACATGTCAGGATATTGTTGATATATTTTAAATAATTGATATGTCCAGGATCTTCTATCTTTTCCACAACACATGGAACTATTAATGACAGAATTTACGACTGCAGAGTGTATGTCATTGATATTTTGAATATCTTTTGTGAAACCACGATTATAGAATGGTTTTGTAGGATGTACAACTTTGTAAAATAAATTAAATTCTTGCACTGTTTTTGGTACAGGCAGTGGTTCTTTAGATCCACCATCTGAGATATCATAATACTTCCTTGCAATGTAGGCAACAAGTGATTTAAACGCCTCTGTAACTTGCTTCTCATATTCAGGTGAGCTTTTATGTCCTTCTTTGAGTTTATTCACAATACCACCAAACCGCTTTTTAAGGAAAAAATTCTGTTTGAGTTCTTCAACTCCTAAAGCAACAGTATCAACGTTTCGTTGTTGTCTGAGCATATATAAAAGTCGTCGTTGACAAGCTTTTGACGTTTTGTTGTGTGAACTGTATGAATATGACCGTAGCACGTCTCTTACTGTAGAAAATGTTATTGCTTGTTTACGTGGATTTGGACAAAAATATACCATAGCGACCTTACAAACAAGCAAAATCTTATCCTCGTATGGTTTCCAGTTTACTCGTAACTTGTGCATCCGTTGCAATGCTCGATAATCAACCTCGTCATACTTTGTTCGTCTTTTACCACTACATTTACGAGGCTGTACTCTTCTAACATAGGATTTTTGCTTCGTGCTTCGCTGATACGTCAACGCTTCATATTTGTTCTGCTGATCCAAATCTTCATTATTTTTAGTTTGTACCTTCTTTTTGAATTCTGTTGCACTTAAAGAAGGAGGCCCAGATACTGTTTTTAAACCAGAAAATTCAGTAAATCTAAGAGGTTTTGCCTTTATTTTAGAAAGATACGAATCTCTTTCATAAACTATATTCTGCTGTTTCCTTTTCTGCCGGACTTCAAAATTAGAAAAACCCCAATTCCAATTTCTTTTAAGATAAGCAAAACATGCTGAATCTGTTCCAGCAGCACCTTTGCGATCTCCAGGTACTTTGCCAGTATCAAATTTGACAGCTTCTTCTGGAGAGCGAGCTACCAATGATTGAATCATATCAACTTTCTTATTCAAATCCTCTAACACTATATCTTTTCCTTCAACAACAAGTCGTCCGCCTAAAGGCGTATTCATACATGTATTCCACATATCATACCAGTATTTCTCAACTACCTGAATTTCGGTAAAGTTATATTTGATTACAAGATACTGTTTATCTTCAATTACATGATAACTAGGAGTAGAAGATGTTGTATCCAGTAATTCAGTACGACGATTCACATAAATAAATACTTGATCCTTCTCTTTTAATTTTTGTGGTCCAAACTGTACCAATCCAATATAACATAATCTTGTTACAGTTTCATGAATATGGAATACATACTTCCGTGCATAGAACAAAGAATTTCGAATATCAACTGGTAAATCTCTAACTAAATAATGTTTCCGAATAGGATGATTTATATATTTGTCCATTTCTGGTATTGTAAATGAAACATAATGAATCTTCAAGAATATCGATAAAGGAAGTCGTAAAAGAAAGTCACACATTAATGTCCATCCTCGAGGCCAACCATTATATTGTGGCAAAGGCGGAACAAACATTTTCCAGCTAATATCTTTAGTATAAATCGTACTGAATTCCTCTGTTAACTCTTCTGTAATGTTAAAATCATTATCTCGTAAAATTTGTATTTGTTCCGCTTTAGAAAGAGTTTGTTCACCAGGATGTTCATAAACCAAATAAAATAAAAAGATATGTAATGCTTTCATACGAAGAAATTTCGGACTATATCCGTATTTTCTTGATATTCTAGAATTACATTTAGAACTTGTTGGTATTATTGTAGATTGTTGAAATGGAGATTGATCAGTTTCAAATTTGTGTGCATCATTAACATCTTTGTTTAATACAAATTTTGTTGTATTTTCTGTATGTTTCAGAGACGATTTAGGTCTTTGAGAAGTCATGAAAAAGAATTTCAATTTTGCTTGTTCCACAGTTGACTGAATAATGGTACTATTAACATCAATGTTTGGATCACATATATATGTTAAATGTTTCTCTTTACCATTTCCACTCAGAGTTATTTTTATATATTTCACTAAATTATCTTTTGCAAGCTTTTGTAGCAATCTTATTAACGATTTTTTATCGATTTTTACATCATACCCTTCTTTATCTTCTTCCTCATATATCATCTAAAATTAAATGAGAAGCGATTAATAAAAATGATTAAAAAGCAAACATATTACATAATTACTTATATTATATTACCTTCATTAACTTTGTCATATCATCAATGATCCGATGTTTTTTAACTGATTCCATAATCATATTAGCTCTTCGCAATATTCTATATGTAATATTTGTCACACTTTTCTTCTCACTATTTTGTATATCTTCCATAAATCCATATGTTTCATTTTCTGGTTTTTCTTCATTTGTTGATTTAAAAACTTTTATGTCAACTTTTATATTTTTATATGCAGCTACTGTCTTTTCATTCTTTGATAATTCAGAAATTTGTAGTAACATATTATTAGAGAATGAATTTTCTTTTTTCATTTGAACTTTATTGATTTTATCCAATAAGTAGTTAGAGAAAATGCATTTATATCTATTTGGGCGTTTTGTTATACGATATTTATATAATATACGATTAACAACATAAAACGTTTTTTGTAATTCTACTCTGTCAGCGTACAACCGTTTTTCTGGTAGGTCATCCTTATTAACAATATCAGATTCAACCACCTTTTCTACACTCTCCATTTCATCATTAATAACAGTATTTTCTTCTTCCTTTATAATCGTTTTAGTTTTTTCCAAGCTATCACTTTCAGTCGTAATTTGCTTTGTAAGTTCTTTAATTTTATGCATTTCTTTCTCAAACTGTTTACTTAGCTTACTAGCTTTCTCATACCTTTTCGATACATATTTTGCAAGCCTTTGTCTACCAACGTCACTCATATAAGTAGCAACAATATTCGTTTTAACTATGTTTCGCAAAATCGTCCGTGATTGTAATTTCGTTAATCCCATTATTTTAGCCAAACTTCCTTGGCATACACCATCAATTCTATTATCTTCAATTATTGTATTTGCTTGTTTCAAATATGGCACACCATATCTATGATTTGAAATATTTATCTCTTGAGATTCATCTTCATCTTGTATTTCATCTTTATTCCATGCTTCAAGGATATTAATATTTGGTACTAATAACTGTGCTACTTTAATTTTCTTCTCCTTTGTAGAATCATTTTTTTGCTGCCATTCTTCTGGTGATGCTTTAGGATATAAAGTTCTATATGGTATTCTAATATCTGTTTTTACAACTTTTTGGAAAAATGAAGTTTTAAACAATTTGCTTAATGCTTTTTCAATTTGCAGTTCACGTTTTATTTCATCATATTCTGCAACATAATTGGGTTTTGATTTAAGAATTTTGATAACTTCTTCTGCCAAGAAAATCATTTTTGGTTTTCTTTCAACAAAAAACCTTGGAAGATGTAACAGACTTCCATTACAACCATAATTATCACTTTTCTGATGATGTATTTGTTTCGTTATTAGCTTATAACGTAATAAAAATTTTCGAAGATAAAATAAGCTTTTAGAATCTTCTTTTAGTGCACTGAGACTAAGTTTTCCCTGAGTAACTTCGCCATGATATCGTGATCTACCTACTCTTTCTAAAAAACAATACTGTTTTATATTTAATTCAAGTATTGGAGATATTTCATCCCCCATTAGGGCATGATTTCTAGCACATTGTGATGCAACAATAACTAATTTTTGTCCATATCTTTTAGTAACTTCTTCTAAGCTAAGGTTCCTTACAAGTCCTGTGATATCTTCCCGAGTATTATAAGTAGAACAAGATCCTTTAATACCATTTGCAACATCATTCACAGGACAATGTGGATAAATATCTGGAGGTACATTTTCCTATTCAAATGTATAATTTCTTACAAGTCTGATAATTTACTAGTTTATTCGAATTTTGGTCAAGATACTTACTGGTTCCAATATGATACCTAAATCAGGATCCACAAACTGATAGCGATCGAAAATTACAAGTGGTTCCCTTGGAGTTTCTAATTTGTAAAATGTAAATTCTCTGATCTGTACGCATATTGACCATATCTGAGTCATGAATGATCTTGGGAATGGTAAAGGATTGTGAAGTCGATGAGCTAAACGTAACCATAGTGCTGAAATGAAAAAAAGTTATAAATTACAAGACATATTTATTAAATTTATTTATTTAAAATAAAATTTAACTCACTTTTATTTAAAAAATAATATTTATGAAAGTTTAGAAATTAGACGTGACGGGTAATATAAAGACACTAAATTAATATGTATATATTATCCGAGAACTTTTTACTTTCACAAAATAAAAAGATTATGTACATATATTCTAGTAAATATTAATATTTATACTAACCTTCTATAGTAATTCCATCCAAACCTTCCAATGCAACCTCGTCGATTATTGAATCTACTAAATTAATTGATGAATATGACACCATATTAATTATATTTGATTAATATTTGACACTGTTCAATTAAACTTTAAAATATACAATACATACAATACAAAAAATATTTCGTATTTTCATTACACAGTTTAAATATCACATGTAACACATGACTGATACATCTTGTCATAAACAGTAAGGTAGCGCTAGGTAGTACATTACATGTATGTGTATGTGTGTATAGTCCCACAGTAGGTAGATATAGTCTACGGTCGCATGCACAGGTCTGGAAACTCCTGTGGTGGGAACACGGTGTAATAGATTTTACATCGTAAGTAAGACTAGTTCCAAATTTGAGGATAGAAAATTTTTTGTATTGTCCATCATATACCGGGCGCTAATGTCGAGTAGTCAAAACAATTTCAACCAAGTAACGCTTGGTGGAATTCAAGCGAATTCTTTATAATTTTTATAGTGCTTCGTAAGTAGATATGCATTATTTATGCATAAATAATTCTATTTATAGTTAAAATTTGCTTAAGAGGGAGCAAAAAGATGATCTTGTGTCTTCTACTGTACTGACTACTCTGTGGTAGCGCCGTTGGTGGCGATTTTGAGAAGCGCCACATAATCGTGACATCCCTCACCACAGAAATTTCAAGATCTGCGTGCACAACCGTGGATTCCTCAACACGGCAGTTTCAAGACTTGCATGTACGACCGTGGTATAGTCTATCCAGCGAAACGAGATAATAAACGTAAACAAAATTTAATTGCTGAGACTACAACTATTGGTAGCATCAAATTTTGTTTACGTTTACTACCTCATATCGTTGGACAGACTATATACTGTTTTATCAATATATACGTACATATATATACATATTAGAAATTCCTATACCAATAGTCGGATGGTTTTGCAATTTTCGTTGCAAATGATTTAAAAAGATCCATTCAATAATGTCTTTAATAATATTCTTCGGCAAAAAGTTGCCATCATAAGCAACGATGTGATTAATAATAATAATAATAATAATAATAATAATAATAATAATAATAACAATTTATCTTTCAACCTTTTGGCCATGAAAAGGGATTCGGTTTACAACGGTAATTACTTTTATTTTCCTTGCTCTCTTAATCATAAATCCTTAATTTCCGATACACACTCCCTTTATCTAACTATTTAATTATTAATCCGGTAATTAACTAGCTTCTGTATATTCTATGCTGACAAACTTCTCTATTTTTTATTTATATGTATATTGTACAAAGATATAAAAAAAGTAGTATATTTCAATTACAAGACATATTATAATAAACGTAAGCTATAAAATATTTTAATGAAATATATTCAAATCATAAATTTTCTTTTGATATATTGTAATAGATTTGAAAGGAAATTGTGAAAAATTCCTCATTACTCAAAGCTGCTGTTAATTACTACTGAAATTACTATAATCAGTGAAAAAAGAATTTTTATCTACTAATATGATTACTTATATTGCTTCAAAGTTATTAATTATAAATAAAAAATATTCTGTATAATATATACATTTTATTAAAAAATATCTTTTTATAAATTGTCTTTTAAGTTGCTATAAAGTTATTCCTTTTTTTTAACTGAATTTTTTCATGATCATGATTAATGATTTTATTCGAGCGTTTTCTTTTCCTTAAAAGTTTCTTATTATGTCGTAACTGGTGTGAAGTATCATTGATTTCAGTATTAGTTTTCAAAGATGATGATGAAAAAGAAAACTTATCTAATTTTACTTGCTGTGAGTCTTCTGCTGTTGATAAGTTCGTTGTTTTAATCTGTGGCTTATCAAAAACGGAATATTTATTTTCTATTGAATTTTTACATTCCACATTTTTACAATTTGAATCTTTTATATTTATGGAATCTTCTTTATCAGTCACTAATTTACTAAAAATTGCTGTTGATATAGGAACTGGAATAGGTATAGGAATTGGTATAGGTATAGGTAGAGGATATGGTACAAGAACTGTAACAGGGGGCAGAAGCGTTGTAGGCGGTAATGAATGAAATAATTCAGTTGGATTGGATTGTTTAACTGATGAAGTTCTCGAAAATACATTGGTCTGATTCTGATATCTTATTTGGTTAGGTTCATTTATGCAAGATTTAGACAAAGATGGAATTTCATGATGCATTGTAGGTGTAGTTGAGTTTGAAAACCAAGATGATGATTGTAATATATTTTCTGTTGGAGTGTCATATCCTTTTTCTTGTAAATTTCTTATGTGTTTTACATGTATGTTCCTTTCTAAATATGTGTTGCTATCTTTAGGGCTATGTGAATTATTCATGGTATCCATCGCATATTCCTGTTTGAAGTCCTTACAATTCAAATCATTTTTTCTTAAGTAATTTTCTTTACAATTTGTTTGATTAATCATGGAATGGCAACATTTGCTTTTTTCATTTACTAAAGATTGCTCTTTATCATGTTCATTAATTTCTATATAAAAATTCTTTTTATGTTCATTGCAATTATTGGATTTTGTACATTTCTTTGTGCACACTGAATTGATTTTACTGGGCCATTTTTTATGTGGGTCTACTGATTTTTCATTATCAATTTCTTCTGTTTCTATTGATCTGTTCTCACAAAGCGATGATGATAAACTATGAGTCAAATGTGTATCAACTAAATATGTATTCTCTGCAGGACTATTTAATGGTGATTGACAACTTCGAAACCATAGTTCTGGTGTTATTAAACCATTCTTCTCTGTATCATGAAAAGGAACATTATTTAAACCTTGAAGCATTAAATGAGTTTGTGTTTCATGGCAAAAAATATTCATTTTGTACTGATTCAAACATTTATTGCTACAAAATTGAAGCTGACTTTTACCATCCTGAAAAAAGGAATAAGATTAGTAATTCTCTAATACATCAAATTATATTATAGTACAGTATAGCATTTTTAATTAAAAATAAAATGGTGAAGATAAGTTACTTTTAATTATTTAGTATTCAACATTCAATTTACATACTTGAAGATCAACATAACTAATTGGATTTCGTATATGTCTGCACCAGTCACATGTTTTTGCTTGTTTAAAAATTGCTCTTCTACTAGCTGCAAAACAATTTTCACTACAAAAGTATCCTAAAGCATCCATCATATTATAAGAAAAGGAACTGGATCTTTCTAATTCAAATATTTGAACAATTTTACCACACCAAGAACAAGATATATTATCTATAAAAATGCTAAAAATTATAACGAATTCATATGTAATTTATATTATGTACTTAATACATATTTTATACTTTACCTGAGTAAACAGAACTTGAATAACTTTCATATGGAAATTTAGATGTAGTACCAAAAGATACTGGTTTTAATGATAAGGGGGATGAAATTAATTGTCTATTCACAGACATTAAGTTGTTATTAGAATAAGACAGTGGTACATTGGAAACTTCAAAAATTGAATCAGATGTATTCACTACTGGCGATTTTAATCTTAGTTTGTTTGAAACAATATCTTGATCAGTTTGAAGAGCTTGACTTTTTGCATCAGATATAGATGTAAAATGATCCAGGTTTAAACTTTTTGTATAGCCACTATCCACTTTATCATAGCCATACCATCCTAATAATTCACTCATTGCAGTTGCTGCATATTCCTGTAATAATGTATAAAATATGAGTGATATTTCATCATTGTTTAAATACAAAAATACTTTCTGTTAATTTATATTGTGACTTTTTAGAAGTATCATACCTTTTTCTTATCTCTAATTGTCTTAAAAATATAACGCGTCTATACTACGTTAAATATTCTATATATTATGTATTAAGCAGTATATGATCAATTCTAATCTAATCTAATTGTATCTAATGTGTTGTAATGTAATATTTTTTTAAGTGCAGGCTGGTGCAGGTTTTAATGTAGCACTAACAATTCGTGGTTTTTAGCAATAACTTTGATATTTTAGATTTCGTTTGTTAGATTTGTTTGTTTGACGAATTCTATTGTCTTTTTTGTATTGTTAGGAATAATTAGCATTTCTTTCATGTTTATGTTATCTCCTAGTATTCTTCCTTGATTTCTATATCTTCCGTAGTGGATAATTATATGTTCGATTGCAGGTGATGTGTGGTATATGGTTTCACCTGTTGCGGAATTTGCGGATATTTTTGTTCCATTAAGTCAAGTAATGGTGTTATTCTCGTTGAAATATAATGATAAAGTGTGAGTGAGCTAAAAAGACAATATAAGAATAGAAAGAGAACGCTGCATTGAGATTTCTTGTGTCCTTGTCTAATGACACATACACATTCTTATAGTAAATATGTAACATCGATGGTAACACCGATCAACAAACGATGTCAGTGTGCATACTGGATTATACAAGGACAGACAGGGCCTCTATGCTGCGTTTTCTTCCTATTCCCACATCGCATGGCATGATACACGGTGACATATAAATTGCGTGCTCTATTTTTATACATATCTCTGTATCCTATTCGAAGTCATGTTAGAATTATTTATTCTCTTCTAGTGAGGTTATTTTTCTGTATTTTGTTATTTACTTATATAATTGTATGCTGTATATTTATTAAAAAAATAATTCTTTTATTTTAACGAAAAGGCAGGAAATATGGTTTAATATTTAATGCAAATTAATAAATCCATAATGTTGATGTGCATGTATTATTAAGTTAAGCGGAAAAGAGTAATATGAAACTCGAACATTCACTAACATTATATAGAAAATTCTGTGGAATAAAATTTAATTATACATTTCTGAAACTAAATTATGCAGTATAAAAACGTCCTATCTTTTTAGTAAAATTATCCGCGTTTTAATTCTTATACAGAGTTTTACTAATGTATTAAATTATTAAATGAAATATACCTACAATTAAAATATAAGTATTGTAATTGTCTTTAAAGTATTGTTTATATATATATATACATATATATTGATTTTGTAGGCACAACCACGTGCTAATCCCTTTTTCAAGGCTGAAAGATAGGAAAATAAAGTTATCTACGTATCTATATAACTAAAACGTTTGTAAAATAAACACGTGTATATACTTGAGCAATATTAGATGCAGTTGATACGAAGTTAAAACTTATGCATAAAATATTTTATGATGATAAATAATAATATAAAAAACAAAACAGGATAACGAAAAAATATAACAAAGTATAAGCAATTATGTAATTTAATAAATTATGGTATTGTTAATAATTATCCTGCTTGATGTTAAAAACAAAGTATATTAATAAAGTTTGGTACTATTAATAATTATTCCAGTGTTAAAATAAACTAGTGGAAAGGTATATTAGTTTTGACGCAAAGAAATTATAATGAACGAAATTCAATATTCACGTTAATTATAATGGAATACGGATCAATGGATTGTGTTACATTTTAATAGTGTATAGATTATATTGCTCTCAAGTTACTTGTATATGTACGAACTTTTGCAATAAGATCTAACGTTGCCTTAATGCTTACAATGAGATAATTCTAAGAATAAACATGGTTACTTTATTATAAATTCAATATGTAATTTTGTATTAAAAACATTTTTATATTTTCGAAGGGTCCAAATTTTTATATTTACACTTTAATTTTATATTATTGGTATTTGTGTAATATCATGTAAAATTTAGTGTTGTAGTGCAAGTACATAATAACTAAAATTTATTCTCATTTCCTTTTCTCATGAAGTATGAAAAATTGTAATTATTCTCACAGAATTTGTTAAGCTTTACAACGAAATGGTTTTGTACAATTTCACAAAAATCAAATATTATTAATTTAAATTCGAGAAGTAAATTATAGCAAAATTATAGTGAACAAAATGGAAGAAAAACTTATAAACACTCACAAAAATAACACGTATTTTACCTGAATTTCATCACCAGTTTCTTCTTCTTTAATTTTAACCAGAGTACAATTTCTTTGGCGTGAGCGATTGCCACCATTATCTTCAGGCAAAGACGAAAATACTTTTCTTGCGTTTTCTTCAATTTTTTGTAGAAATAAATTAACTGGTCTATTGTCCATCACGAAATATCAACATAAATTGAAAAGTAATGTCCCTTCAAGCCTTCTGATGAAATTTCAAAAAAATTAGCATTAATTTTACTTCTTACAACATACGTATATAATTAAATTTTTAATTTTATCACGAGAGAATTGATTGTATTAATTATATTAAGCTCATTCGGATAATAATTAATATTACTTCATTATTTTAAATAGAGTGTTATAATTTGTATTTTTTTTTTTATATTTGTTTTTCAATTAAATTTATTTTAAGATACCAATGGCGAATATGCTATTAAGCCTTTAATTCAGTGAAATTAAAATTTTTTCTATAACTTGTAATGAAATTCTTTTCTTTTTTATTTCCGGTTTTTAATTTTTTCACTATATTCAGTGTCAAATACGTAACCCGTGACATGTAATGATTGTGATTTTATGTAATAACTTTTCATATTCATATTGCTATTTTTGCTTATGGCAAACGTTACTTGTTTAAATTATTCAAAATATCTAACAATAGTAGACTTAGAAAGAAATATAGATAAATATTATCCATTTCTGTAATTAATTCAGTCAAACCTGCATATATGTATATATAATATATAAATGAAAACAAATGTTACTTTGAGAAAAAGAAATAAATTACAATTTATGAAAATCTTTATCTCAGTATATTAGATATTTATTATTATAGTATTTACGTATAATAGTAAAATTAAAGATTATATTTATAGCAAAAAATAAATAATTTATGAAAAGAGATTAAACTTTTGTGTACAAAATATAATTTTCAATAATACTTATTAAATATTTAACAAAGCCATTGCTTTTATAATATTGTTGCAATAATAACAGCAAGCAGTCATTTAAAATTCCAGATAATTGATATTGAAGCAAGTACGTATATATTCGAATAGGTAATACAGCACCAAGCTGTGCCTAATCAAATTTCACTGATATTTTTAGGCCACTAAGGTAACACAACTTGCGTGAAAATAGATCGCATAAATAACTCGTCCAGTATCTTCTCCTTCTCAAAGACTTAAACAGAAAATTTGATTGTATTTTTCAGGCATTTATCTTTTTCAATTTTTCATTTTTATTTTATTTTTCAGTTTTACGTTATTTTAGGATTTATAATTATCATTTGATAATAATCACACGTATAAAATTCTTTAACATCGTACAACATTCATTTATCGAAGACATATCTCATGAAGAATAAACGGTTCTTTCTTTATATAAATATAACATGTGTTGCTTAAACAAATATTTGCACTAATATTTGAAAATAGTCCGTTAGAGATATATTTTCTATTTGTAAATCGAATCACGTATCATGATTTCCACTCGTTATCATTCTTTCGAATAAGAAAACACATCAAAGAGCGATCTTTTAGATCAATCTTTAATTCTAATATTTGTATGTATGTAGCGAAAAAAATGCAAAGAGGAAGATAAAGGGGAAAACTAAAGAGTTTAATCATATGCGCGCACTTTCTTGATTTATCGCGGTTATTCATAACGCTGATTTTTTTCGAACTTTTTAAAGATGCAATGACTTGTGAAAAATTAATGAGCAAATGGATGGTACATATATAAAAATATCCGCGGAATTATTTCGTTACAAACCGTTCGCGCTCGTCCAGAGTCGGCGTTGATAAGAACTGACATGTTACACCTGCGACCGCTAAGCGTCGACTAATCGTGGATTTTCGCAGTCTATTAAATAACGCGGGATGTTGCGTTACAAAATGCGCATATTGGTTTGTTAGATTGATTAATTACATTTATTATATTTTAAGGTTTATCATCTACCACATTTTAATAATATTAATAAATTAAGCAGTAATCTTCACGTAATTGAAGGTAACGCACAAATAAGCTAATTAAATGTTAATGTTTTTCATTTATCATATTTTAATATTTCGATAAAAATCGATAAATTATTTCTTTTTATGGTGCTATAATTAATCTCTTGAATCTAGAAATTTATGTTATATAAAAATTACAAAGAAGTTAATTTGATAGATTGTCACAATTTTACAATATATGAACCTATACAGAATGTTTTGAACGTGAATAAAAGAATTTCATACAGTTAAAATAATACTTAAGATTCTCTGAAATGTGTTCTATTTTCCACATAGAATTCACATTAAAAGCTGCAAACGTTCTATGAATGTTTTGTATATAAAAAATCGGACAATATTATATATTGACATTATATGATTATTTTTTTATTGTCATTTAATATTATTATAAATAAACTGACAATTCTAAATACAAAAATAATATAATGCATATAAGAATTTAAAATGATATAATGTTATATAGTAATTATTTCACTATATATAACTTATAGAAATATACATTAATAAAAAATTTTATATTTGTTTAATTTCACCACTACAATGAGGACAACAAGTTATATTTGAATCACTTCGTGGAAGAAATATTTGGCCACCAATTGCAACAGCTGCTCCCATCACTGCACTACAAGCTACATCTTGTCTTCCTGACATGAGCAACTTTGGATTCATAAGAAGCTGTATATAAATGAAAGAAATAAATATACCTGAAACAAGGTAAAATAAATACAAAATAAATATGAAATGAAAACTTACTTGTTCTGCAGTCTTTTCGGCAAGTGTTTTCATATCTAAGCCAGTTATATTAATTTCTCTTTGTAAAGTAATGTTTTCAACACCACATAATAATTGAACTTTTAGAATTTCTGCAAGTTGACAACAGCCTTGTACTAAATCTATTATATTTGTACTTGGTAATACATGCCTCTTGCAAGAAACACTTCCAACATGATCAAAATTTTCACGCAAAATACTAAGTATCCTTAAATAAAAAGGACATAATATATATGTATTAAAATACATATGTTCCTGCTACTTAAAGTATTTTGTAGAAATATTTTTATTAATAAAATACATTTTTTGTAAATACATGTAAGAAACATACCTGTATGTTTTAAGGGATATATCTCTTATAAGATTTCGATCCTCTAGAAGTCTTTTTATTGCTTCTTGGAGATCTGTGGTTCTTTGGCAAAGAGCTGCTTTCCATTTTGCAAGTTCTTCAACCATTAAACTACCAAAAATTATTGAAAGTTATGTATATTATATATGTCAGAGTTACATTAGAATTAGGGTTAGGGACCTGAAACGAATCTTCATTTGGATTACACATTGTCGTTATGCAATAGAGAAGACATTGACTAGTGCAAATACGATTATTATAGAATTGGACAAGTAACCGTGGTAATTAGATACTACAATGATCCTAGGTTCAATAACGAATCCGCGGTCAACGGGATAACAGGATGTGCTTCCTTCCAAAGACCAAATCGTACTCGACTTGCTTGGCTACGATGAAAGTATAACTAAACTAACTCTTTGTTAAGACGTGGAATATCCACCGAGCGTACAGACGCTAAGTAACTCGCTAATACGACCTCACGAGAGAATGACTTTCCGTTGCGATGATGTTGCAGAGGAAAACTATGATGGGCTGTGTCTAAGGACACGAGATCATCGGATTCGTCGAGGATAGCCTTCGTTCAGAAAGTGAGGGAAATTGACGTTGCTGTTAATTGGTTAATTTCCATGTTGGTGGTTAGAAAAAGATGCTAGCTGCCCTCGAAGGAAAGCTGCACGTGTACTGCGGAAACGCATCGACATTTGGCAATCATCTTACTTGAAGAATAGGGTCTGCAAATGGCGAGCTACGGGACAGAGACCGTTGGAATGTTTACTGTCGAGTGTTACAACTATTTCCTTTTTAAGGAGAGCTATAGAATTACTCCATGCCTCTGCGTTCATCCCGGCTACGTTCGGCGACTGGCTGTCGCTTCGAGCCCAAGCTCATTATCACAAATCTCGAACAAATACAATCGGATCAAATGACGACAATTGTTTAATTACACCTATGATAGAATCTAGATTACGGTATTAAGGGATTTTCCCGAAGTTCCAAAGGGAAGGTTCCGATGTCCTTTCATCTCCTACATATATATTATGTATGTAGTATCGTGGAAAAACGGCCTGTGGCGGCACATAGCAAACACCACCACTCGACACTAACTAGTGTCGCACGACGGCAGCGCAGTGGTTAGCGCCTTAGGTTACTAACGTTCGGAACCCGGGTTCGAATTCCGGCGACCGGAGTCTCATTTTTCTTCCACGATACAAAAATGAGAAAAAAAGCGGCTGTACCCAGCAGCGACATCTACAGCCTAAGTATTCCGATACTACATGTATTATTATAAATGAGCCATAAATATTTATATTGAATTATTTTCATTTACCTACTGGCTAAGAATTTACTCCTCCAGACTTCGCATTGACCTGCTAACCACTCTGTTTGTTCTTGATGAGTTGATAAATTTTGAGCAGAATTTAAAAGAGCTCGAGCAAGTTGCAATTTATCTTCAGTCAATAAATGAACTTTTGTTTCAAGATCTTCTCCAACAGCAGCTACTAATAAATTTTTTAATTCTCCATTAACCTATTGTAAAAAAGAAAAATGTATGATATAATATTATTACTTTAGTAATAAGTAACATTAGTACCTGTGCTTGAAATTTCAACTGATTTTCAAGTTGACTATTTTCTTCTTTAAGCTTTTGTATTTCCGCTTCGTATGCCTTTTTTTCTATCAACCAATCACTTTCTGCAGACTTATCTTCATCTACTGTCTTTAAATCATTAGATACCTTTGTTTCATGAAGTTTCATTGCAGCAACTCGAGAGACAGCCATATTCACATTTACATTACTTTTTTGCAATCTTCTATTCTTTTTTTCATATGGAATGATTGGATTGACTGCAGCTTTATAAGGTTCATAAGGAATAAATTTTGGCTCCTTTGATTTTAATGAACATAAAATATGTTTCTCATGTTTTGCATTATTAACATGCCTTGGTATTAAATTTACTATTGGACCATTTGGCATAACTGGAGGAGTTGAACTTAACTGTTTCAAATTTGTTGGATGATAAATTAACGTTTCACCAAGACGGCACTTTGTCTGTTTAACTTCAATTTTTTCAGCCGTTGCATTTTCCATCCCATCACCTTGCGTACGTTTAATCCAGCCTGTAACTTATATATCTTAAATATTAATAATAACACATTAATATATAACATAAAAATGAAAAATTTTAATGTTAAAAAATATGATACTAACAAATATTTTTATTCATATTGTACATTCTTTTCCATAATTAATTGCTTTCTCATATGTTCTGCTATAATAATTATTAAGCAAAGTAAAGAAACAAATATCTTATTACTTATATAATGTATATATATATAATAAATTGTTATCTTGTGGTCAATATCACATTAAAATTTTCATATGTACTTTATTTTAAATATATAGAAAACAATGAATATGCAAAATTATATGAAATAGGATGTTATATTAACTATATTATACTATACAATTTAGTGAAATAAGGAAAACTAAGTCTAATTATAAAAGCAAAAGAAACAAATATTTTATAAAAAATGTAAATTTATATAAGTATGTATATAAACAAGAAATCTAACCTTGTGACTTAGTTTGAGGTTCATCTTTTGTAGAATTTGAAATACTGGCCATTTTCACTTCTATTTGGTAGATATCTACTTAAAATAATCTTAATATCATTTCATATCATGACAAATTATCAACTATATTTTTTTATCGGTCATTATTAATCTATTACTTAACGTATCCAATTTAGTGAAAGGAATTCAACGAGACATGAGTAAGAAAATATATATCAATACCAATGTATGCATCATGTTTAGGCAAAAAGTATAACAACATTTTTTATGCAAATCCTAATTTCCACTGTGTAGGTACATTTATCAAGTAATATTAATTTTTATATTTTTATGAATACTTTACAATTCTATAATATTTTGATAAATAGTGACTAAAGCAAAGGGTTAAAGTATTGAATGTATTTAAAATACTGCAATAATGATAAAAAACGAAGCAATAATTATGTAAAATAGGTTTTAAACTTTTAATCTTTTTTGTTTGTGTATTATTGTCAATATAATATATTGTGTTATTTTTTAAATAAAATTTCACGAAATAATGATAATGACACTTTCAATATTCACAAATATATATATATACACACATATATATATAAATTATGTATGTATATATATATAAATTATATATATATATAAATTATATATATATATATATGTATATATAAATTATGTCTATCATAGTATAGAACATTTGAATTATCGAAATTTACAAAAAAGTTTGATTTCTATACAAATTTTTTTCTTATCTAATATCGATAATTCAATTGTTATAAATCACTAGTCACCAGAAAATAGTTTTAAATTCTTATAGTTGGTGAAATCATTAATTATATATTTAACACAATAACAAAAAAACATTAAAGAAGGAAATTAAATTAACAAGCATTTAATATGTCATATAAATTAAAAATTATAATTTTGCAGTATAAAAAGATTTTAATTTTGCAATATTGTCAAATTATAATCTGAAACATCAATTAAATTTTATTATAAATTGTAACCTCTTTTGCAATTTATAAATTTTTAACTTAAAAGCAAAACATTACACATTGATATTACTTTATTAAATACGGTAAAGTTTAATGATAGAATAATGCTTATAAAAAGATTTTATAGTAATTATAGCGATGTAACAATTTTATATCCCGTTACCATAATTCTTATATTTTTATAAATTCAAATTTTAACTTGAAATATAATAATAACATGTTCGTATATTAAATGAACTGTAACAAAATAATATAAAAAAAGTAATAACCATTCCAAAGAATAAAAGCTATGGATAAAAAAACGTATAAAAAATATAAACGAAGGATTGCACAAGCTGTAGCTAAAGTCGATAATAAGCCTCCAAGATTTGAAGTGTCCGCATATTACAAACCGCATAATATGAGAAGTGACATAAATCGAATAAGAGAAATCGACAAGCAAAATATAAAATTGTTAAGGCGGATGAATATAATTACTCGATTAAGGGTAAGTATACAAAGTTTTATTTCTGTAATAAATATCTTTTATTCCTCATTATTTTCTATCTTTTTGTATACTTATACTACTATATTTTACTATTAATATGTCTTGTATTGAATACTACCACATCATTTCTTACTATGTTTATATTTAGTATTGTAATATAAGTAATCTTAATAATTACAAACATGTATTGTATAAAGTATATAATCATATATGTTTTATAAAAATATTGCAAATTTCTAGTAAAAGTATTGAATGTATTATTTAAAATACTGCAATAATGATAAAAAGAGGAAGCGATAATTATGAAAAATAGGTTTTAAACTTTTAATCCTTTTTGTTTGTGTATTATTGTCAATATAATTAACTGCAACAATATATTAACTGCTTTAAATTAATCTGAAATTCATGATGTGTCCAAATTATAGTCAAATATCGATTGCTGGTTACCAAAGATAAAATATAAATCAAAACTTGATAATCAGGAAGTAAAAAATACACAAGTCATGAAAGAAAATAAAAATTTATTACGAAAAATTCGTAGAGCAAGTACTAATTATTCTACTGCCGAGTTTATACAAGATTGGAAAGAAATGAACATGAAAATGGAACACAATAGAAGGTAAATTATACCTTCAATATTTCATGGATATATATTTTCGTTTTCAAAGTTTTATGCAAAACAATTTCGAAATTAATTTTACTTAAATTATAATTATGACAAAATTTAAGTTACATCATTTTTTTAAATTTTTAATTAAAAGAACACTGGCCTTTTATTTCTATCTTTTTATATCTCGTTCGATCTTATTATAATTTTAATGAAATCAATATGACATGTATTCATATCTTAAAACACTTTATTCTTTCCATTCCATTGTTAATTGTGAAATTCAACTTTAATTTGTATTAATTTTAAATTTTCAGAGCATAGAATTTTGAAAGTTAGAATAGAATTTTAAAAATGCAGTTGAGAGATAAAAACACAATAATGAAATGTAATAAAATAAAGGAATAAACTTTATATCATATTATTATTACACATTACACGTAATGTAAATGTTTATATTATATTGATGATTAAATTCTATAGATATCAGAAAGAACCTACAACACATACCATTGGATTACAATCTCCACAAGATCATTGTATAATTACAGATTTATCATTGCTAAAACATATAAATCCATCTATTCGTACCAAATGTTTTTTTGAAATTGAAATCCAAGGAGATCAGAAATTAGGATCCATTCATTTTGAACTTTATGATGATATTGTACCTCGAACATGTACAAATTTTGCGGAATTATGTCGTGGATATAATGGCTTATCGTACAAGTAAATAAAAGTAAAATGCACATTTTTAACAACTTTAAATTTAAAAAAAATAAAAGAAAGAAGATCTGTGTTTTCTTCCTGCAAAATTTTACTTAAAAGACTGAATGATGTGTGCAGTTCTATGCAATACATTATTTTGATAAAACACATTTATTCAAAATATTACTTTTATGATATTATTATTACAAATATAATATATTAAATCTTTATATATATATATAAAAATCCTTAAGTCGATTTCTTTAGAAAAATTTATTTGGACGGAGGAGATATCCGGAAAAGATATCTAAAAAAGTCTACTTTTCCAAATGAATAATATTTTTTAAAGGAAGATAAAATTATATCTTTAACTAAAAAGAAACCAATGCTTTTTCTAATAGGAACACACCGTTTCATCGAATTGTATCCGGTTATTGGTGTCAAGGCGGAGACGTTACAAAACTTAACGGATGTGGAGGAAAGTCCATATATGGTGAATCATTTGAGCATGAGAATTACAACTTACGTCATGCTGGTCCCGGAATTTTGTCCATGTGTAACGAAACTGAAAATACATGCAATTCCAAATTTAATCTTACTTTTAGACAATTGGAAACAGTAGATGGGAAAAATGTAGTTTTTGGGAAAGTGATTGCAGGTCTCTCAAACATTTATAAGGTAAATTTATTTCAATTACATCAAACTAAAGATATCTTCTTCATTCGTAAATTTTTCTAAATATATGAAGAATATTTGTTACTTATATCATTATCTTTTAATAAATTAATGTAAATTTGGAAAAGAACAACTGTACCCTCTTTCATACTTTTTATTTAACACATCTTTTTATAAAATAAGGAAAATTAGAATTATATAACAGTTAATTAAAACTATACCGCAGAAAATCACAGAAAAATATTTTGAAACATTAAATATGCAAATTTTTAGTATACATGGATCTATAAATCCAAGAAATAAATAAAAAGTTTAACTACTGTACTGAAAGAACTTTCTATAAATTTATTTATATAACAGATTTAAAAAATAAAATTGATTCAAGAGTACTTAGTAATGATTTTAAACATGACCACATGTTAATATATCTGATATTTTTTAGATTGAAGAATTTGGTACAAAAACAGGAAAACCATTTAAAACAATAATTATATCCAACTGTGGTATTATATCAAGATATATAAAAAATAGATAAAAATCAAGCAAAGCATAAAAATTTCATTTAATTGGTGAAAGGCAGAAGTCTTTGATAGTATAACATCAATGTTAATAGTTTAATTACTTTATCGTATATAGAAAAACATAATTATATCAATTACTTAATTAATTTTTCTCTCAAATGTTCTTTCTTTATATCTGTACATTGTATAAAAACATAAAACATTTAAAAAGATATTTAATTTGTGTACAATATTTAATAATAAATCGTACTTTAATATATTAAATTATATTTCTTGTAACGTGATTGTTATTTTTATTTAACGTCTTCGATACGGCGTTTGTTCTCCAGATATCGTCATTTGACGGCCTGGACCTACGGACAAGGACAATTGTGTAGCGTAGCGTATTGTTGACAATTGACAGTCAAATTGACCTCAGCCGATATTCAGTCGACGTTTGACCCTGGGAACGTATTCGGGGTGATCAATTATAATCGACACTCGTACTTGAGACGGTTAATGAATCTATCCCCATTCCATATGTTATGTCTATTATGTTACATTAATATCATGATTAAATTATTAAGATAAACGAACACAAATATCATAACTCGGTGTTTATTTTCATTCAATTTTTATACAATATCATTTCTATATGCAATTTGTTTTATAAAATTTGAGTATTATTAATAATGGTTTGAGTATCTTTTTGATATGTAAAATATATTTTTATATATAAATGCAGTTATTCAATTCATTTATAACAATGAGGCACTTTAAAATTCATGCAAATAACAAAAATATTTCATATTTATATAGATATATTAAAATAATTATTATGATTAATGCAGACTTTAAATATAATGATTTAAGATAAAATAATGTTAGCAATTAAGGCATAAGTATGACGTTATAATACAATAACATAAACTTTCATTGATAATATTAAGAGATATTTCATTTTACGTTTAATTAACCATAAGCTGATATATGTTGCTTATATGATTAAGCTGGTAGTCTTTTAGGATTTAAATCATACATTCGGCGCATACGTTTTTTCAATTCTTGTGGAAATTTATCGTAACACTTTTTACAGGCGGGTTTTAAATCAAATTCAAAAAATTTAGTTTTTTGATTCATTTTTTGATCGCAAAATGCACAAGCGAAGTGATGTACGCACCATGCTTTATTCAAAGCTGTAAAAACTGAAAAATTCAAAATACATTATATATTTACTTTCTTCTTAAATTAGGATAAAATTAATAGAGTAATATACTAACCATCGCCAGAAATTACTTGATTACATACAAAACACAAATTACCGAAAAGTTGATGGTAATGTGTTTCACAATAAGCTAAACCTTTTTTCTCATAATGTCGATGACCTAAAAACGGCTTTTCACATTTTGCACAAACAAAATGTTCAACATGCCAATGTTTACCTAGAGCAGTTACTACTCGTTCCTCAATCGGACGTCGACATGCACCGCAAATTGGAATTCCCATTTTATCATGACATCTCAAACAGTATAGCTCATTCTGAAAATTTTAATAATCAAAATGTGAATTATTAATATACTAAGTACTAATATATTAAGTAAAAGATAATACTAATAATTAAAGACAACACAGTTATAGATACATACCATTTCATTGGCAGCATATCCTGGTCTAGAGTTAACCTCTCTAGCATCTGAATTAAGTTCTATACCACAAGCAGTACAATTAAAATGATACGGATGATAGAGTTCTCCGCGAAAACGGAGAGGTTTGTCATCAATTACACCACTAAAAATTATATAATATTATATACATGATATACAATAGCTAAATAATATATATATAACTTTAAAAATCAAAATTCATACTGGCACTGATGACAAATATATTTTCCAAGTGCCCCAGCCTTAACACGTGCATTACACGTATGGCATAAAGCTCTACCCTGACATTTAATAAATCCTGCATCAGCTAATTCACCATTGCATTCTTCACAACGGAAACATCCTGGGTGCCAATTAGCATTCATTGCTTTTATTACACGGCCAATAACAAATTCTCCTACAAATAAAAAAGTATAATTATATTCTTTCTTACAAGTGTTTTTATGAGTTCTATATGAGTATATTATTTTTTTAACTTCAAGTATTTGACATATTGTGATAAATAATTAAAACAACTTACCGCATTTTTCACAACAAGGTGCAAATAAGACATGGAAATCATGTTCACAATATTTGTACCCTTCAAATTCATAGAATATTCCATCTGGGAATGGACGGAAACATTGTGCGCATCTAATAAAATATCTTTTATTATAATTGATATAAATTTTAAACAATATAAATGTAATAATATAAATGTATACAAATACAAACTTAATATAATAACTTCCAATAATAATAAAATATTCTTACACAAAGCATTGAGGATGCCATAGCTCTCCATTTGAATTAACAATCTTTTCATGAGGCACAAAACCTTCTCTACATCGAGAACAGAACATATTATCCAAAGACATCCCTGTAACACTTTTTATATAAAGTTTATATTATTAATGAGACTAACCAACCATTATTCTAATATACATAAAACTGCTTTAAAATTGGACTTAAAAATTAATATTATAGTTTCTTCTCCTTCTTTTGGTTGTTCCTCCTTCTTTGTTTCAAAATGGTTAAATTCATATAATACATTTAAGTTTTCCCAATTTATTCCAAATATACAATATTTAAAAAATGAGAAAATTAATGTACATTAAAGATAATTAATGTGGACATGTTATATATATATGCATATATATGGCGAAAAATCATAAAATACGCAAAAACTGAAAATTTTTTTTCATGACATTTTTATAAACTAAAAAAACGATTTATAGCGCCTAGTGTAATGAATATTTCAAAATTGAATATGTAAAAATAATTTATTTTTACTACCATCGCCATAAAAAGATAACTTTTTTTTTACAATATATAAATATAAAATTGCATAAATGCTGCATATTATATTAATATTTATATTATATTCAAGTTAACGTTTCGAATGTCTTACAATATTTCATAATAACGGATTTAAAATAATATACCTGGAAATTAATTTTGCTGGTGGAAGATATCCTATAACACTATGTTTCGGAAGAGAAATAATTGTGCTTACCCTGGCATTCTTTAATGATAAAGGAGAGCTAATTTATTAATTGTCGTTACTTCCTTTTTCTTTTAATTAAAAAAAATATGAACGTTATATATTACAGATTATTTAAAAAAATACCTAGTATTTTTCTAAACTAAAAATTATTGTTGTATATCATTAATATTATTAATACTTTTTGAAATGAAACTTTAAAGAAAATACACACATCAGTGTTGCTGGTTATATATTAATTCTTCGTTTTATATTTAGAATAAAAATTACGTCATCAAAGAATGCACCGCTTTTTCTGTAATAATCAGTTAACTGCAATAGCCAATCAAATGTAAGGAATGTGGACTTGCCTTTTGTGAAATGTTACTTCAAACAAGGAAGTAAGGTTATGTAGATATGAAACTTTAATAATTATTAAACGATTAATATCTTTATACATATTTTAATATCGTTATTTTCTATTGCAATTTTAGTAATGTAAATGAATATTCAAAAGATTGCCCGTTTTGTTTAAATATATTTGCAAAATAAACATCTACAAAAATATAATTATGCAATGTATCAATAACAATTAACATTTCATGTTTCAAAATCTTTAACAGCTTTTGGATAATATTAAAATTTCAGAAATACGTTTAGAAAAAAGATAATCAAAACAATTAGGTACATAAAAATTACAGGGAAATATAAAATAAACTAAGAGACCGTTTCAAGTTAACTTTCAATACCATAAAGTATATTAATCTACATGGAACGTTTAATTGATTATAAAAACTAGGAAATAATTATGCTTTTTACCATAAAATTATTAAAATTTTTATATAGTATTTAAAATCCCTGCCTAGTAACTATGAGAAAAAGTAGCTACGTATATAGATATACGCGTTCTCTCTTTTCCTTTCATAATTTTGCAATATAATATTTATTTATGAATTATATAAAAATATTAATAAGTTAAATTATATAAGGTACATATCCAGTTTCATAAAACTACAATTACATAAAACTACATCGTTTAATTTAGCGCTGTAGGTTGTCATATGGCGCTGTAATCAACTTAACTAATCGATCGAATAGTATCGTTAAGATAGGGTTGACACTCTGCAGCTGCTACCATACGAATTGTTTGTGCTCTGGAGAGACGTTTCTCTTCGACGACGTATTAACCATATAACGTATAACTTACAAAATGGCATGGTTATGTAGTCGTACTATTTTTCAAACATGTCGACGACAATTTTACCGCGATGCTGTGAGATATACAAAAGAGAAGAAAGACAGTAATACAATTTTTTAAATAATATTAGAATTATTTAAGTGTGTTGCGTTTTTTTGTTACGTAATATGAAAATATAGTTTATTGATTTTACATCATTTTTGACTTATGTTAAGTACAAAATTCAATATTTTCTAACGAAATTCTTGTTTCAGCTTTTCCCGATCCGCTAGAACTAGCCACGGGTTTGGAAAAACGTGAGTTGCTTGCTGCTGCCGCTGGCGATTTTGTAAGTTTCTACATTTAATAATTTTTCGAATCAATGTCACACTTCGAAATCTACATATATTAATAAGATGTTCTATAAAATAAATTTTTTAAATCAAATTTTTCATGTTATTTGCAAACTATAATTATCTTCTGAATTTCATCACAAATTAAGTTGATTAAAAAATTGAATTAAAATTAGTAAGAGAGAAAGTAATTTGATGTGCATATTCTGATGTAAATCTTTAATTTATTGTTATTATATATGTATATCTATATGAAAAATTGTTAAATTAAATAAAATCAAGTTTGGCCCATAAAATGTAAATTAGAACAAATAAATTTATCAATATATTTTCATATTTATTGAATATATCTTTTATATTTGTGAGACATTAAAATTATTTTACAATGCATCTTTGCATGTATATTATAAAAATAAAATATTATACATGAAAGTTAAGAATTATAGATTATCTTCCCTGTCAATATTTTAATTAGTTGTTATTATTTATAATTTATTATCTTATTTCAGGATCCATATCATATGAAGGCCATAGAAATATTGCGTGATAGCACAAAGGAGAATCCAAATTTAGTACCAAGTGCATTCAAAAGTCGTGTTGTTGGTTGCCTTTGCGAAGAAGATACTGCACACGTGAATTGGATGTGGTTGCATGAAGGTCAACCACGCCGCTGTGAATGTGGTCATTGGTTTAAACTGACTGAAGTTGCTCCTTTAGGATAAGATTTTAATTTAATGTCACTTCTTGTTATTAGTCATTTGTTTAAAATATAGAATTAATATCATATACTAAAAATTGTGTTTATTTATTACCTTCTTATATCCTATCTTCATCTTATATATATCCTTTAATTCCAAATAAATTGTTAGTAAATTGAATAGTAAATTATTACTAACTTGTATCATGTTTAACATCATTATTTTAAGATTTTTATCATTTTCAATTAACTTCTATGTAAGGTCTTATGAACTAGTTTTTTTAGAAAATATTAAAAACAATTTTTCTATAAATTTTATTTGTAGAAATATAAGAAATATATGAAGCTGTATATACTATAAGAAATATTTTAAACATATTAATTTCTGATTTGTGTTTCTTATTACCTTTTTTTAATAAATTCTACTACAAATTCTTTTATAATTTCTATTATCTAAATTTATAAACAATTATATAGTTCTGAATAATTGTATGTAACAATTTAAATAGTATTAAATGTAGATTGTACAATGATTCAATTACTTCAATTTATGATTGTTTAGATCTAAGAAATATTTCCTTGCTATATACTCATGATTATAATTTATGGAATTTTAAGTCACAACTCATTTATTATTTAATTTTGCAATTTTTATAGAAGTTTATGATATATCTAATGTTGCATTATTTATAATACATAAAACTATATTATGTTTACATTATTTCAAAATTTAATTATATGTATTAAATCATTTGTAGCATTGTAAGATTACATATTAATTTATGCTATGTTACTTATATAAATATAGTAATTTAAAACAATAAATAATAAAATACTAAAGATATATTTGAAAATGTATTTTAATAGTGATATGTGATGGATACTATTACATTCTGTGTAAAATATCTAATTTATTACATGATTACATATATACTAGTATATTTGTAAATATAAATTTTATGATTGTGAAGTATTGTAAAAGTTATATAAATATATGAAATTTCTTTTCTATATTGTATATTGCAAAAATAGCGAATTTCAATATTTATAAATTTATCACAGTCTCAATGTAGTTTTAGATTTATATATAGGTACTGCATTTTCAAATTCACAACCATAAAAAAGATTACTTAATATTATACAAAGATCAAACTAATGAACATACTATTATGTAGAATTCATTTTGTATTCTGTACAGTAATTACCTCTATATTGTTATAGATTTTATAAATATTAATTGTACATATTTGACTTAAGCATACGAAACATTATAAGTTTCTTTCTTACGCACAAAATTACATACATGACAGTATGTTCTATAAAAATTCCACAAGAATTCTATAATTCTTCTACATGAATTGTATAATTATACTAACTTGTATTAACTTATTATGCTTTGAATCTACTATAAATAGTATTGAAAGTTCCTAGAAATTTATTTTAAACACAATATACACTTTGATATTCCCTTTGAAAAGAGGTGTTTCTTGTATTTGTTAAAACATCAGTTCGTGGTCTACGAAACAGTAGTACATGTGGTTCTAAAATGTAACAAATATACATAGGAAACTATACTAACTATAATTGAACTAAATGAGATTGTGTTAATATTTTAATAAGTCACCATGTACAAGCATGTCTATTTTTATACCTGGTACATGCATCATGTAATGTACCCAGCCTGGACTTTGTTGAACTCCTAAATTTCTCCATTCTGTTTCTGACATAAGATGAGTTTTTGGAACATGTCTTGCTAAATCAACTGGCAAAATAACATGCCTGTAAAAACAAAAATATTGAGTAACCATAGCTATAAACTAATTCTTATTATAATTATATTTATTTAATTAATTATTATGTAAATATTATATAATTAAAATTGTTATTTTACTTACAAACAGTAAATTAGTTCTAAATTATTTCTTCCTTTACTATATATATTATTTGAAATATTTACTTTTAAATGAAATATTTACTCAAATGAAATAATGTAATGTAAGGTCAAGCATAGATAAATTAAAACCAAATATATCAAATATATTAAATTAAAACCAAATATATCAAATATATTAAATTAAAATTAATATATTTTATAAAGTTATATGTTAAAGATACTTTGTAAATTTTAATACTTTAATGGTTTATAATATTTTAACATGAATTAACTACTCTTTCGTACAAACCTATATTCATATTTATCATCGTTGTATTTTTCAGAGTATTGTATTTGATCAGCTGGCATTCTGAATATTAAGATATAAAGATATAAAAATTTCTTTCTTTTATAAAATTTGTTTTCATAACAATCGAATATATGCGTACAATAATAAATTTAACCTTGTTTTCCAGGACGTCAAATAAATTTCAGTGATAGATAAATTTGATACAAGGTGTTTTTTAAAAGCTACAACAAGTAGTAACAAACACGTTTAAGAAACAAATGCGCCCTCTTCTAGTTTCACTCAAAAAGGAAATCTACACATACTAAAATATGTATTTTATTATTACAGATTAATAAAATTTTAATAATTATTACAAAATGCAAGATTTATGTCCGTTGTGTTCGAAAAATGGTCTTAAGAATAAAATAAAATTATTGCAAATTAATTTACAAGAGGCTGTGTGGATATGTGAAGAAGAAAAGGTAAGCTTTTTATAAATTTTTTTATTTAAAACATATTTTATTATAAATATAACGTCTGTTACATATTTCATAATGTAATATTTCATTATTTATATAAAACTTCATATGTGACAACAAAAATAACTTTATAGAATAAATGTGATTATATATTTGATCATCTGTAACATATTTGCAACAAATATAAATATAAATAAAAAACAAGTACATAACAATCTATTATCATTTTATTATTGTATTAAATTAATCTATTACTTCCTATTTTAGTGTGTATGGCCTTTTGGATATGAAGATTTTGTATTTTGTCCGAGAACAGTAGGAAAAGTCTGGTCTTGTTATTGGAATGATTATAAGCCAACAACACCACCAAGATTAAAAGAAAATCTTATGACATCAAGTCCTTCAAAGCTACCATTATGTTTTACACCTGTAATACCTACCAAACATATACCAAAAGAAGTTATCAATAATTTAGATATGCATCCTTTAGAGAATATTAATGCTACAAATAACAGTTCAAATATAATAAACTCAAATACTAATTTTGATGATCCACATATTTCTGTTTTTAGAGAATCAAGTATGATATCAAACATTAATATTGAAGAAAAATGCAACGATACTAATACTTTAAATAATGAAACTACTGTAAGTAATGTACATAGCAATAAATTACAATCGATTAATGATAATATAGAAGATATAAAATTTGAGAATGAATGGAAAAATTTATTAAATGAAGATATTAAAGAAAAAAATGATATTTCCATAGAAAATGTTAAAAGTATGAATACTATCAAAAAGGCACCAAAAATAACAAGTATTGAAAAAACAAATATTATTATTTCTAATATGAAAATAGGAAATCAGATCCCGAATGTTAAGTTAAGAAATGAAGAATCTGTTCATCAAAAATCAAAGAAGAAAATTTTAGATGTTGAATCTGTAGATGTTACAGGATCTAAATTGAAACCAGAAGTTGAAGAATTAACAAATTTAGAACCAAGTGAAAACAATGAAAATATATTAAAACCTAATTTAAATATATCTACAATGGAAATAGATGGTTTACCACCTATCACATTGTCATTTGAAATTCCACTATGTTCTACAGCTCCTGAAACAGTAATAGCTAATACACAACTAGGTAGTTATAAAAGTAATAATACAAAACCAAACAGTTTCGAAGTGAAAGGTACAGTTGTAAAACGGAATATAAGTAGTGGTAAAATATATGAGAAATTCAATTTTAGTGCAATTAAGAAAAAGCTGGAATCAAATAGTTCCAGCAATGCTAATAGTAACAAAGATAATTTTTCTAATGTGAAGACACAAATTCAAAAGATAGAAAATGATTCACCAGAACCAAAACCAATTTCAAATGAAAGTGCTATTTGTGTATCGAATGAACTTGATAAGTCTTATTCTTCAGATATGAAGATACAAGTTCAACAAGTAAAAAATGATTCACCAGAAATAATTTCAAATGTGAGTGCTACTTGCGTACAAAATCAACTTGATGAATCTGTAACGTCCTTATCAAATCAGGAAACTATAGAATCTGATACTGCAGCAGTCAATGCTAGTGTAAATATAGATACTGTTTTGGAAGAGCTTATATGTAATGATTATAGTATTTCTGAAAATATAAACGATGACTGGATAGAATCTCTATTGATCTAGCATTAGATTAATGATATACTATAATTAATTGTATTTAGTTTATCTAAACAATATTATATAGTCCTATTATACAACTAGAATCTTGTTTATTTATGGAAATGAAAAATTGTTACTGATTGTAATTTTAAACTGGAATTATAGAATAATTTTTATAAATAGACTTGTGTTAATTATGTTCACTTGATTGGTATTTAGACACTTTGTATTTCTTTGTATATCTCTAATGTCTTACAATATATGACTGGCTTTGCTTTAAGAAAGATACAAAAACTATCATGTACAAATTGCATACAATATTTAAAACAAGAAATATTTACCAACCACAAGGAGGACTTGATAAATATAATTATTAGGGGTTATATAAAGATAAGATTTCTTTATATTGTAAAAAATACAACAAAAATTAACAAAACAAATGAAGAGAAAAATGAAAGTAAAATAAATCATTTTAAAATTTAACAAAATGCACTGTGTTCAATTCAATCTTCCCATCAATTTTAACACTCCTTAAATATTATGTTGTTTCTCAAGGTTGTAGATTTCATTTTAAGTAAGTATTATATATAAATATTATATGCACTCATTTTATATAATTATTTTAATATTTATATTTCTTTAATTATTAGTAAAAATTAAATTATGTTCTGTGCATCAATAATGTTCTGTACTAAATCTCTGTAAACTAATCCCAATTAATTATTTATTCAGTTATTTAATTTATTTATTCTAAATGAATTTTATTTTTAAACGAATTTATATTATTTATTCTAAACTTTCATTTAAGCCTTCAAAAATTGAACAATTCTGTCTAAGAGCCAAGAAATTTGAATTTTGTAATTTTGCCACCTGTTGCGTGAACATAATTAAATGTTAATATATATACACTTCAGCTGTAAATATTGTAAGAATAAATGACGGGAACAGTATGATTATTAGATCTGTTAAATTAGTTTTTTCATGCTCTATAATAGTACTGAAAAATAAATATATGGTTCTATACAGAAAAAGTGGTGATGATCTTGGAAGCTTGTAAAAAAAGGAACTGTGAAAAAATCTATTTCCATTTTCACTGTTATATATACATACAACAATAAATAAGACAAATATTTAGGTGATCACATTTAGCTAGGTCACTCTGTATAATTAATGTAGTATGGGAATATTATATATTTTACAGATATTTACTATACATAGGCACACAGCTTTATTATGCAACACATGGTATATTTAAATATATGCATTATAAGTATTATAATAGTCTTTATGACTAATTACATAATACATTTTATAAATATATGATATCATTCTATTTAAATAATTTGAAAATTTTAGTATAAAAATAATTGTATTTTTATATAATCCTAAAGTAAAGAAATCACTTCTTATCTCTTGCAATCCACGTAAAAAATGTTTATTTTAGATAACTGTACTAGAATCATTTTATTATTCTTTCGTATCACTTAAAAAAGGAGGGAATATAACATAAATATTGTTTTTTAAACATATTTCGACATAAATAATATGTCCTGATATTTTCTATTTGTTTTATGTATATAATGTATGTTACAATATAATACAGTTTATGCATAAATTGTCACGACAATATATTTAATAAAAATGGTCTTTTTAATATAGTGAGTACTGCCATGCTGTGATTGTTTCAAGGTATTATAATTGTACACAATACATTTTGAAAATATTCTAAGTGAAAGAAATTGTCACATGTAGTTTATAGTCTAGGTAGTCAATTATCTAATGAATATAATATTTAAATGAATGTTTTTAAAGAGTAATAATAAAGTAATTCAAAGAGTAATTGCTATTAAATGTAGTAAGTATTTTTCTATTTTCACAATTATGAATTGATGACGGAATAATTGCAACAGAATTTTGAGATGTTTACAATGAGCGATGAAAAGGAAACAAGTATGTTATACAATATAATATATTTTTTAAAAGATTGCAATAATGCAATGAAGTCAGATTACATAATATATGAAATCAGAACAGAGTGAAAGTGAAAGTAAAATATGCAGCAAAATTATTGCAAAAAATATATTTATATTGTACAATTACAGTAAATTGCAAAATAAAATGATTGTTACCTATGAATAAAAAGGCGATTGTAAATACTTTGCATTCAGCTTTTTTCTTTATCTTTCAAAATTTTTATTTTTCGACCTAATAGATCGTATTTGGAATGATTTGGTTCCGGATCTTGATCTGTATCTGAACTACATTCACTATCACTAGAATCTTCGTAAGTGCCAAGGCCAGGCAAAATTCCAATACACTTCATGCCAATTTCATTTGTTATATTTTTATGTTCTAAAGTATCAGTTTTGAATGCGGGTTCGCATTCAGCTATTATTTGTTCATTTAGTTCACAATCTTCTTTCTTTGATGTGTCTTTGCTTTCATCAGATGACTTTCTTTTAACACCCCGTGCAAGATCTACATAAATACAATATTAAAATAATATTCAGATTAGGATACTAAGTATTAAAGTCTTTTTATGTACTATTCACAATCTTCAATTATTCTGAATATAATTATCATTTTCGCATAATAATTAAATAATTTATAAAGATGACATTAAATTTTTATTTACCTTCTTTTTGTTTTTCAGGACGTTTAACTACAACACCAGCTAATAATTTTAATTGCGAAGTACGACTACAAGGAAAAAAAATATATTTCTTAACATTACAAAATATAAACATAATAATAGAAATGAACAATTAAAAATATTTATTAAATATCATGTTATCAATTTTATAATATTGAAGATATAATATTGCAAAAATGAGTCATGCTTATTAAAGTTGCATTAGATGAAGTAATATATTACCTTCCAGAAGAAATATTTTTATTTACAATTTGAGGATTTTTTAATTCTTGTTTTAATTTTTCATTTAAGGATTTTTCTTGTAATGAAGCAACAGCAGCTTTGAAATCTCGCATTTCTTTTTCTTCTTCAAGATTTTTTTTACGTTCTTCTTCTAATTTTGTTCTATCCACCAAATCCAAAAATTCTACTTCATCATCATCTAAACCTTTTATCATATTTTCTGTGAATGAAAAAAATAATTACATAACACAATGAAACATATAATTAAAACTTATAAAGGAATATGCATGATTTTATGTATAATTACATACATTCTAAAATTGTTAACTTACTCAACTTATGTGCTTCCTCATATTCTGCATCTCTTTTATTTTTTTGTTCTTGTAATCGTTCATATAAAGATCTTGTATCATATGTTTCTTCTGGAGCTTCTATAAAAATCAGAGAACATATATGTGATACTTTTACAATAATTAATAAGTAAAAAATATAAGCATGAATAATTACAATTAGGTCACATTATTATAGTTACAATTTAAATCATTCATTTGTAAAAACAATAAAGACAAGAACTAGATATCTTAATTAATTTTATATTGCAGCTTTTAATTAAATAAATATTACTATTATAGAAGATAGCTGAGATATAATATATACATATAAAATGAAAATATGAGAATGACCTAATGGTTGGTCTGCAGTTCGTACACGTTCCCATTCTTCTTGTCGTATTCTTCGCTGTTCTGCAATTTCAGCTTCTGATATAAATCCTGAACTCATAATGATCTAGAAAAAAAAATTGAACAAAAATTACATATACACAAAGCATTGATTATTTATTTGCTATAATTAATAGTTGACATAACAATATATAGAAAATAGTAATTAATTGTTCAATTTCTTATTAATTATAATATATATTCGACAAATATAATGATTATTATTATTTTTTATCATAATGTTTTAATAAAATTAAATAGCGAATATTATATAAGAAAACATTATTTGATTATAAATTTTATGAAGAAACAAAAATGCGAATATCACTTTTCAAAGAATGAAATTAAAGAATAAATGCATAAAAATAAAACTTTTGAATATATAAAAAGGGGGAAAAGAAAATAAAATCAGTAATGTTATATACTATACATACTTAGAATACTTATATTAATACTTACCACTCTTATGTATACTAAACTTTGACAGAGTAATAGCACAAGAACTATATATTTTCAGTGTTTCTAAAGTTTTTATAAACATTCAACATTTATAATTAGTTATCCACTCCTTATCATAACGTAAATGTTAAAATAAAATTTCTTTAATACAATTTTTTGAAGACTTTGATATTCAGTACTTTAAATTAAGAATTTTAAACATTAGATTAAGTGTTAATGATTAAGTGTTAAGATTAAGTGCAATGTTAAAACATTAACATTTTTCTAGGAATATTTGGCACTCTAAATTTTAAACACGAAAAATTTCTTTTTTTCAAATTCGTTAATTAACAAGTTGTTACGAAATGTTAACGACCTTTTCATTTAGTTAAAATATTCTTAGTGTATAGATAAAATTAATAATGTTCAAAATTCGTGATTAAAGATAAATACATATTTAATATTTTCTAAAAGATATGTAGGTTAAGTTCTAGATTTAAACTTAAACAATTATAAAATTACAGAGTTATATACGTTGAATATTTTCTTATAAATAGATCTCTTATTTATACAATCAAAACCGCATTGAACAATGTTTTATATTATCCTATCAACCTATATCACGAAAACGACGTTCGAGCTTAAAACACTGCAAATTAACTGCTCGTACTTAGGTACTCCAACATTTCATGCGCATGCGTGAAACATTACGAGTATAATATATACGCACACTTAGATGTATCTATGTAAAATATAAATGACTAAGTTTATATATTTATAATTTTGTGGTTTTTAAACTTTTCGTATTTTGTACTAATCTGAAGAAAATAGATATACAATATACTATTCAACTTTTGTTTCACAATTGAAATTATAACACAATATGTTACATAACAAATATGTTAAATTTTGATGATGAATATCACAAATTTCATGAACTCAAAATGGGAAAATAACAATCTGCGAAGAAAAGTATTTCAAATATTTTTATTCTTTAAACAAATCATACATAAGTTTCTGGGAATTCAAATGTTACATCCCGGCCTGTTAGTTTCTTATAGACAGCAGCAAAAGTATCAACCTAGTAAATGAAAATGTTGCATTCAATACCTTATATTAATTGCCATTGGAGAATACAAATATGAGTAATTTATATTTGTGACTTGCACAAATAAAAATAAAATATAAAATACGGTACATTACAGGAACATTTATCATTAAAGATGTATTTACCTTGTGTTCAATGTTTGTTTGCTCATTTTTATCTAAATGAACTTTAATAAGCTGTGTTCCATCAAGTTTAATTCTGATGCGTTTTCCAACAATCTCTACAGGGTACACTAAATCCTCTAATAATGCATCATACACTGCAGTTAAGGTACGGCTGGAAAATACATTTACTTATTTGTTTATACAGTAATATATACAGGGTGGTTGGTAACTGGTGGTACAAGCGGAAAGGGGGTGATTCTACGCGAAAAAAAAAATCGAAAATATAGAATAAAAATTTTTTTTAAATTTTTCCATCGAGACAACGACCTACAGTGAGATCCGTTATAACGAGACGTGATAAAGTGCACGCGTACCGAGCGAAAATTCAAAGTCGATCTTGTCGAAAACAAAGCCTCAAACGAAAAATTTTTATTCTATATTCTCGACTTCTTTTTTCGCCTAGAATCACCCCCTTTCCACTTGTACCACCAGTTACCAGCCACCCTGTATATATACAAACTTTGTATCAGTATACTCTATTAATATTTTTAGTAATAATATAACATACCTTCTAGGTCTCTTTTGCTTATTCTTAGTACGTGTTTTTCTTGTTGGTTTGGGCAAAATTTTACGTTCTCCAACAAACATCACATGCTTTCCAGAAAATTTCTTTTCTAGTTCACGTACAAGTCTCGTTTGGATTTTTTGAAATGCCTTCAACTTTGGCATAGGTACATATATAATAATGCACTAGAACAAGTATTAATTTACTTTATATATATTATCATACATTTAAAATCAAAATTTTAATTTCAAGCATTGTACATATCTAATAGGCTGTTCTGTTATTTGTAATGAAAAAAGGTAATGAATTATAAATATTGCTTATTATATAGTTTTTGAATATAATCAGTTTAGATTCATAATTAATTAATTAATATTATCAGTATTAGCTGCTAAATAGATACTAAATCAAAATTAAGTTATATAGATGCAGCAATTGAAAAGTAATGGTGCAAAATAACATGTCATTTTTACCTTTTTATTATTAGTTTCTATTTCACGTGCCTTAGTGATATAAAGTTCTCTTAATTGCGATTTTAAATCACTATTCATTTCCAGTTCCAGCAGAGCTTGGGAAATGCTGGCTTCGAACGCATCAGGTTCGGCCCCGCCACTTTTTATTATTTTAGCGTTTGCTGTGAACATCTGAAAAATATTTTGAGGTTAAGATTTCTTCTTGTTTATACACTGATACTTTATAAGTCTTACATAGTTATTTTATTTAATGATAATTTTAATTATAGAATATAAATTTTATTTGAAACATGATGTAGACAAAAATATAATTTTAAAGTTAAATGCTACAAACTACGATATGCTGTCAAATAAGTACATTGTATCCAATAAAATCCAATTTTATCACATCTTATATATACGATCCGAGGAAAAATATTACTTCGTCTGACACATCGTTATGTTGTGAATAACATGCAAAGTATCATTTAACGTTATCTAATTCATTTTAACTTCGTTTTTAACTAAAAATTAAACTGTAACTCGAATGTATACCTTAACGATATCCGTACCGCGTGAAAAAGATCCAATATGCCCTCAGATAGAAATGCCAACTGTTCTGCGCACAAAATGTCTCTATATTTCTATTGTATTATACTATACCTATATTGCATTGCATTATATATTTATTATAAGATACAAAAATATGATCTTTCATTCGCTATTATATCATTAATTACGTTTTAAGAAATATTCTAAATTCATTAGCTTTACTTAAAAACATTTTCTAATGATTTAATCCTAAAATTTTTATTATATTCGTATTTTCATGAAAATTTGTTTTCTGAAAATTTTGACGTATATCTTTTATAGAATAAATTATTAAATAAATAAAACAAGTTTTTAATATAATTGTAATATATATTTTTTAATACATACACTTTTTGTATCTATAAGGATTTGGTAATTTGATAAATAAAATTTCCTAATAAGCCGTCAGTCTAGGGAAAACCATCCGGAAAGTGAGCTGAGACTAGTTCTGAAAATCATCATGGAAGAAAAGAAGAAGACATTTTATGTATCTCTGTCTGTCTTACAAGATCGCGAACTTTGTTGTCTTCCATGGTGATTTTTCACGATTAGACACGACTCAATCTTTAAGCGGTTTTCCCTAGTGAGTGTCGAAACCGGTTGATATAATTATGAGCTATAACGTTATTTATGTATATATTTTAATTTATAGATCTAACATAACAATTCGGCCTTTCAGAAGTTAGTTTTATTTCATATATCTTAAGTCTTTGAATGGATTTTGTCTGAAAGATGTATTTACTCTAAGGAAAAGTGAGGTCAATAGGTATGCTATACTTCAAAACATAGTAGGATTAGAACACGTTCAGGGTAATGTCATATTACATGATAATTCGTGTTTCATGAAATGTACATTTCTTATTGAATTTGAATAAGACGTATAAGCGTTTAAAGCATATATCATCATGGAAAATGAAAGAGCTGCATATCATTATGAAGAAGGAAAAGAAAAAAAGATGCCCTTTACCATCTTTGGTGAACCAATAATTAAAACACATTGTCAAAGAAATGTTATGATATCTGCGATTTCTGGTGGCATGGTTGGTGGTTTAATAGCATTTTTGTTTACTAGTAATCCAAGAATGTCTACTCGAATAGGAGTAATTACTTACGGTGTAATAGGAATTACTGGTGCACTTTATTGTACATACGATGAAATACAATCAAGAGGAGAAAGAAGAGAATTTAGGAAACTTATGTATATAGAAACTCGTAAACACCAAATCAAGGATACAAACTCAGATGATAATGTATCAAACCCAAAACTTGAAAGTATTTAAAGTTTTTATTTACACAAAACGTCTTATAGATACAGGTACATAAGTTTTCTTAAATGTGAATAATGTATAAATGTAAAATGTAATTGACTTATATTTGTAACAAAATTTACATTTTGTTATGCTTATGTATCAATATGTAATATGAAAATAATTATTATATGTCAATAGAAAATAAAATGATGTGAGAATGTCATTACTTTCTTGTATAGTATGTAAATACAAGCAGATAGTAAGTGATAGTAAGTGCAGATAGTAAAACAATAATTAAACAAAGATCAAGAACTAAATTGTTTTATTATTATTATTATTAAGTATTATTATTATTATTGATTATTAAGTTTCCCATTGATACAATTTTCCTTTGTCTATAACTTACTTAAAGTACAAATTAATAACAAGTTCTAATACTTTCTATATAATAGAAAATAATACAAATTTTCTATTTTGTTATATAAGATATGAAATAATCATTCAAGTACCGAACAGCTCTAAAAAAATGTGTAATATCTATTTTAGTATAATACATTTACATATATTGTATGTATGTAATCATTGTAATTCTTGTGCTACATAAATAATCTTACATATATATTTAAGATTTGAGCAATTTTTTATTATGTAAGTTCGAATAAATTTTCAAAATCAATGTTCCCGGTAATTTACAGCAGAGGGCGCTGAAGAGAGTATGATATCATGCGAAATTCTGTCTGTTATATGCTCATTGGTGTTTGCCGTTTGGTGGGGTGTGTATGACATCACGACGCATGTTTCGTACTATCGAATATGCTATGCTGAGTGACAGGTGGTGTAGTAGTTCTGTTACGTACCGTGTATCGAGGATACAAGTCGTATCCTCGCGTCACGCGATCGGCACGTTGTTATTCGTAGGTGTCAGTGTTAAGTTTTGTGATGCATACCACGATTTCACGCAATCTACCTGAGAGATTCGACTCTACGAAAAGAGGTGAGTTCGTTATTCTCAGTAACATCTCAAATTTCATCTTTTAGAACCTAATGTTATCTTCGTAAAAAGATTCAAGTAGAAGATCAATCAAATTTTTTAGAAATAAGAGTAATTCTACCTATTCGGTAGTACTTATATATAAATGTAAAAAAGCTTGTTTTTTTCTAATTACTTATCTTTAAACAATTGATTAGTTTTAAATGTGATAATCGATGAATTTATAGATTCAGTGTTGCGTTTTATGAAAACGTGACTCAGGAAGACTTGGAGACGATGGTCGAATTTGGTTAAGATATGATGATTTTTTTTATATATAAACAATGAATAGTAGTCTCTTAGCTTTCAATATGCGTCGTTTGTAATCTTCGTATGGTATCTACTCGTTCGACACCAAGCAAAGAGAAATATCTATTTTGGCCAAGATCCGATGATATTTGTGACAAGTTTTTGGTGTGAAAAAGAACAATTTATTTTTTCCAGTGTTTTTGAGACAGCTATACAACAGGCCAGGCATAGGGCCACACGGAATTTTATTTGTGTGAGTAAACACGAGTGTATTACAAATTACAATATGATTTCCGAATATAGTTTCTGGTAAAGAGGTGTTTACAAAAGGTTAAGGTGCATGCGTAATGCATCCAGGGTCTATCTTTTCTATGGTCAACTAACAAAACTCTTCATTTTCATTTCTTCGCTTTTTTCCTTTTTCTCTTCTTTCTCTTCTCTTTAACATCTATTTTTTAATTGGTTAAATAATTTTACTTTTTGAATATGACAGTAGTTGTCTCGTATGACATAATTTTTTGAAGTGAATGTAAATTCTGTTAAATTAGTACGTTAAATGGAATTACGACCACGTTTATAATAAGTATACATATGTATGCCGAGTAAATTGTATTGGAGCTTAAAAAATTTAAAATGCGCGATTGTGATACGAACATATGCAAGTATGTACAATGTACATATATCAGTTTTAAATATTATATGGATAAGGTTAAATAGTATTATATATTCAAAAAATTTTATTCCTATTACAACGTATACGTTTTTCGATACAATTTATTATAGTACATTGAAAGTGTCTTTCGTCTAAAGCACCGACTCTTCAATATTTCGGTCAGTATCGATTGCAGGATATGAAACTGGGTAGGGTCCTCCATTTGAACTATCTCAATGCGGATTCTGGCTTTGCATATCTTCTCTCGTTTAAAGATTTTTCCAAAACTTGTAATAGGAAATGATATCTTTTCTTGAGTATAAATTTATTCGTTTTAACTATTTGTTTTTTTTTTTAGTGTAATATTCCATTTTTGTACAACATTTTTGGAAATATTTCCTATTCCTATTTCTTTTTAGAAATAATAGAATATATTTCGATATACAAACTTTATAATTAAAATTTTCACAATCATACATAATAACAGTACATTTGTATTATTTAACCAGTATTTTTTGTTACTAAATTACTTATTCTAAATTAAATAACTTTTTGTAAAATAAAGCAATTTTAACATTAGATGTAATACAATAATTCTTACATTAGAAGGTTTAGATCATAAAATTAACAAAAACAAGTTATTAATATTAGTGATATATTGTAATTATGAAAATGAAAAAACAATATTTTCAATAGAAGAAACAACTTCTGAGTTTATTAAAAAATTTCATACACGAATAATTTCACAAGATAAGTTAAAAGAATCAAAGAAAAAATTAAAATTGATGATATTCAAAGGGCTTCATTAAATTACTTTGCAATGATCTTTTTACTTAACATAAGATATGTCGCTAATGGTCTATGTCAGTTATCCTCATTTTCCTCTTTCATATCTGGAGCAGTGTGAAAGTACATTCGTGATTACGTTGGTCATTGACTTCTGATGAATCTTCACAGTCGATTGCTGCTTAAGAGCAACTTAGCATTTTTACAATATTAACAAATAGTGACCTAAAGTGAATTAATTTTCTAATAATTGGGGAACATATGCAGGAGAAATAAACGAATAAACGATATATTACGATCATATTAGTAAAAATATGAAATTGCATAAACATTCGCAGTCTATTTATAATATAACGAATATTATTGATTGTTTAAATAATTTTATGATTTCTGTGAAGTGTATGTTTTCGATGAATATCTTGCAACTTCTATGAACATTTTCGTATTTGTTTGAAGCATCACCAATGTAATTGTGATATGCCATACAAAATCTTTTCTATCATACATAACATATTGCGAAAAATTTGTGTCACGTATTTTCTATATAATTTTCAATTTTAAACGTTCGAAGACTAATCATAAGAGATATTCCCACGTAGAAGAAATTGGTAACGCTTCCCAAACAAATGGGGTTCATGCATTGAGAGTGTTCCGAATGTGGTGAATTGGGCCAGTGCCATTTATCGCCCTACATCTTGGAATCACGATATATACCTCTACCTTTCACCATTGATTTGATGTATTTAAGGTTAAATTCCTTCCTAAGATACTACCTCTCACTTCATATCTATTTTTTCGCCTATACGTCAGGGTTCTTACGATAACGTAAATCTCATTAAAGCGTTTTGCTCGTTAGGAAATTCATTGAAAAGCAAGAAAAAAATGCGAGATACATTAGATGCTCTGATGGTTGTAATAGATAGCGTAATTCTGTTCTTTCATAATGATACGACGTATTCAGTTCGCATTCTAATAGGAATCGTTTCTTTAGC